GCAGGTCAGTGCACTCCTTTCACAGAGGCATTGGCAATTTGCAAGCAACTCTGCCCACTAGAATGATTGCAAATGCAGCCGTTGCGCAGATATACCAAGGAAGAAAAGAAGAACCGCACAGAAGAAAGCATAATGAGCCTATTTTTTTATTTTCAAAAAACGAATGAACGAGGTATGACTTCCGCCTTAATTGCGAGAATTTAAGTGTTGCAGCAACGGTTCATTGCAGTTCATTGCTTAATTGCAGTTTTGTAAGAAAATATTCTTTGCATTAACGTTGTTTTCGTATAACTGGTGTTATTCGTAATATCTTATTATAGTTTGTTGTTATTGTTGATGTGTCTGAAAGATTTTGTGTAGGACCATACAGCACGCAAAGAGTTTGAAAAGCAAACTTTTAAAACCGAACTTAAGAAACACATTGAGTGTGAAAGTTTTATTTTTCTTTTTTATATCGATAGTGTCTACATACGAATAGTGTCTCAGAAATAACATACTGAGATTAAAATTAATATATTGAATAGATTTTAAGTTATAGGAATTTAAAACGTAGCCGCTCAGTTCAATCCAGTTTACTACTTTATTTCTTATTTCTAAAAGCACGAAAAAGGCCAGGTTCACAATAGTGGAGTACGTTTTTTTAGCTTTGAGAGATATTTTTTAACTCAACAAATATTTAATCTTTTTGTTTTTTTTTAAATGCATTGTGGATTTTTGAAGTATTTATAAATATCGACTAAAAACTTAAAATTTTTTAAAATCCCAATCTCGACAATTTTTCGGCTTTTTAGACATACTCAGAGATGCCTCCTAATGTTCTCCAATGACAATTAATTTAAATTGTAGACTCACTACTTAGAACTTCTATAAGAATTTTGATTTTCGGAATACGCGTAGAATGAAAAGTTAGATATTTTGCCTGAAAACATGGCGTCTCTTTAACTAAAAAAATAGCAAATGTATAATAATGTTATCTGCTTATACTTATTTACCCGCACCCTCGCTAAACGGCTATTAGTAGCACCTTTCACACCCGTTGCAAAATTCTAAGCTTCCACTTGACTGAATTTGCCTTATTTTTATTGCCCATTTCCTTCATTCTCTTCGTATTACCTTTTAATGCTGTCCAATTTTTCGATGCCTGTCTGCGCGCATGAGTTAGCCTAATTTTTAGTGGAAAATTCTTCTGCCACAGCTAATAGAAAAAGGAAATTGTCGAATTTCTAATGAGTACATGCATTTAGGGTAAAGCGCGGCGAGTGTTTTGGCGCCCTGGCAGGTAAGCGCGATGGACAATGAGTCAAGAGAAATAGCCTGAAAAGAGTGCGGTGAATGGAAGAAAAATGTGCTTACAGCCATAAAGGGGGATCGAGTGTTCTAAGGTGATGTGGAATTCACTCAAGGAGTAAATGCAGGAAGAACTAATTCAAAACAAGCAGTGAAGAGTGGCGAGCGAGAAACAAATCGTTCCGGTTTAAAGAGAGAAAAGTAATAAATAAATAAAATTGCTTTAAATTCATTCCCGCAGAAAGTGTTGAAGCAGAAAAAACGTGTACGCGTTACCGAAAGTGATTTCACCGCGCAGCTATTACTCTGCGCCAGCTGATAGCGCTTACAACATTTTGTGGCGCGGCGCTTATTCTACTTTTTTTTCGTTTTCTTTGTTTCCTCGTTTGTCTGTCGCAAATTTGTTGCGCTCAATTTTTTATTACTTTTTTTGTTTTTTTTTTTGGTTTATGTTTTTATAGTTTTTTGGAGAATTTTCCTTAATTTGTAAGTATTCACCCTGAAATGCTGCAGATTGCTGCACAGCTTCTGCTAAGTTGTTGCTGGTAAACATAAGCGTTGGGGTAACGGATTCAGATGCTTGCGAACTACATTTTTTATAATCATCTGTGTGTGTGCGTGTGTAAGTTTCGTGCAACCAGAGCGTCAGTTACTGCCACATAGCTGTACTTTCAATGTTGCTAATTTATTTTTTGCACGGTCATTGATTTCGCTTCGAGAGATTTTCGATAATTTTCTTTTCATTTAATATGATTTGATTTTCTCTCACTCCAAATACCATTTCCGTTCTACGGATCACGTATTTAGCGTAACTTTGTTATTTGCCGTGGGTGTGTTCGCAAAATAAAAGACGAACTCCCTGTTAGATAATGAGCGGGTTCAATGCTCTGGCCATGGCTGTCAAACAGGGTATGCCGTTGGCTCCCTTCGCCATTTGCATGGTGCGATTTTGTTGGTTGATTAGTATGCGGCCGCCCAGAAAATTGATAGTCAAGCACGTTTGTTGCCGCGATTTGCGCTGTCTTACCCTCAGCTGTTTTTGCGCTCTCCCGCTTGTTGCTGTCGGTTTTGCATTTTCGGGTCGATTACGTTGAAAGTGTTTCCATTGACATGTCATTTGCATTTTTATCGAAAAGAAATTTCCATTTTCATTGCAATGTCATTGCAATTGTAGAATGTAATTTAAATTGTTGTTTCATTGTGCTTAATGAGCAGTACCGTTGAATTATGCAAAGTCAGAAAAAGGTCAGCGCTTCCTTTGGTGTATTAATAGTTGCAGTTGTTGTTGTAGTCGTAAAATAAAAGGTATAGCAATTTGGGAGATTGTAAATTTGATTTTCATTTTTATTGTCCCAATATTTATTACATTTAATGGAGTGGAGGAAGAAGGGAATAAATTTAGCTGCCGAAAAACGACAAAATATACGAAATTTCAGTGAAAAAATTTCATGTAAATATTTAATATTATTATAAACACCCCATTCAGTTTAGTGCCACTAAATTTTACATACTGAGAATGACCAGCAAATCAGTTTCATATTCATAGCTAGCGCCTTTAAGGGTGGATCTCAACAGTGGATTGAGCGAATCGTAAAACATAACTTAAAAAACTCTTTTGGTATTAAGTCCACCGAATTTCGACTGTTAGTGGCGACACTTAAACGTTTTAGAGCCATAACTTTTCATCAGACCTGGGTAATATCAAGTACCAGTACGACTTGTAATAAGTACATTTTAAAGGAATTGTACTGGTACTGGTACTGGCATTCCCAAAATTGTCAAGTACAAGTACAAGTACAAGTACAAGTAATTAAAAAATACTTGAAGTTTTAACAAATACTTGAAAGTATTTGAAAGAATTGAAAGTACTTGAAAAGAATTGAAAAATGTACTTGAATCTATATATACAGTATATAAGAAATATAAAAATGTCATTAATTTCTGTTATTTCTTTTAGATATTGGTTTCAAAGTTGTAAGTAATTGAAAGTGCTTGTAGTAAATTTCAAGTATTTTTCAATTACTTGTACTTGTACTTATACTTGTACTTGAAAATTCTGAAAGTACTTAGTACATACTAAGTACTTCAAGATAAAAATTAAAGTATTTAAGTACGTACTATTACTACTCAGTATTACACAGGTCTGCTGTTCATTAACATTATAATCTTGAAAATACCTAAATTTGAATTATTTGGTTTAAAACATTTGTTTCTAAAAGTTATCAAATATTAAAATACTATATAAAAATGATTATTGTAATGTATAAATAATATATTTATTGAGTAGATAATGATATTAAAAACAAAACGTTTTATACGCTAAATTATTTTTTTCTGTATATTTTATGTATTTTAGTTCATTTTTTGTAAAAATTAACTTTAATTAAACAAGCTGAGCGTTATACATACAATCATCTACATTATAATATATTATGTATAAATAAAAAATATTTCTTTAAAAACATCTATACTTACTAAATATATGTATATTATAGAGGGTTTTCAAATAGGAGTGATATGATTTCTTAACAAAAAACATAACAATTATTAAGAAAAATTCAATTTTTTATTTAAAGTGAAGTGCAATCGATACAATTAAGTTCTGAACATCATACAAATAGCCACCACAACTTCAATTTTCGAGTGTTTTTTCCACTAAATCAAATAGAATATGAATATCACGTTCAGTATTAGCTCCTAAAGCTTGGAGAGAGTCTGATTAGTTGCTCAAGTCCAATTACTTCAAGTAACCCTAGTAGTTACATCACAACTTCTTGGAGGCCATTCATTCTCACAATTTCTTGAAATAATCGAAAACTCAAACTTTCTCTCAATAATTCTGTTGTTGCACGTGCTGTTTGGTAGATCAACACCTTCCAATTGCGGTCGTAAAACAGCAATTATCGACGACTGATGATTCCGTCAGATCAGAAACCACACCAGACTGTCCATTTTGGTGATTAAATGGTTGTTCATGAAAAATTTGTAGAATCAACAGTTTTGTTAATTTACTGCTCCTCCGATGAAAATGAGCCTCATCGGAGAGGATGATTTTCTTAAAAACTCTTTATCGCTTTCAAGTTGTTTAAAGACAAAATCAGAAAATTCAGGACATTCACGGTGGTCACTAACTGCAGTTCTTGAGTGAGAACAAATATTATACCGTTGTAAACCAAAACCCGCCAGGTTGTGGTTTGAGGCAGTCCTACCTCTTAAGAACGCGTTTTAATCCAAAAATTGCGGTCTTCATCAAAACTTACCTGAACGGTAACAATATTTTTTAATTACTTCGAGTAATCCTTTGTCTAAGTGACACTTGAATCATATTTAAAGGAAATGTCCGCTCGAAGTTGTCAATAATTCGCCGAATAGCGAGCACAGGTGGTCGATTATTATGACTATAAATGGAAAAGCGCACGGAGAACGATTATTTTGATAAAAAATTGAATAATTTGTAAATGCTGCTCTTGTACATAGTGTATTTTTCCATGCTGAGATTCCAAACAACAAAAGAAACTGCCCGAAACGACACTTCGAAATCATATCAATCTTATTGGAAAAGCCAGTAGTTTCTTTGTTTTTTTCACTTAACACTATTAAAGTAAACAGAATCCTTTTTTTTTAAATTAACTGATTATAAAAAAATGTCTAAAAGTATTTAATCTTTCTTGAACTTTCATAAAAATATCCTATCAAAAATAACGTATTAACAGATTAATTGGAACCCCACGAGGACTTTCAAGGTATAAAAAACAAAAAACTTTTTTTATGCATGGTAAAAGTATGGAACAAAAATGTGTAAAATATATGTTTTGGATACTAAAAAAGTATTCACTGAATAAGTTTTTTAAAGTAAAGCATCAGCTTATTTGGGTTGAGAAAAATTAAAAGGTCTTGTGCAGAAACAATTTTCAGATAATAATGGAACAGCGAAAATACAAACACAAAATTAAAAGCTAGTGTGACTGCCTTCCTGCCACCAACATAATTTGCATACAGCAGCTGCAAAGACAAAAGCCATAAAAGCACACAACAAACACGGTTAATTTAAAAACAAAAAAATCATACTTAATACCCCTGTGCACTGTGCGACAAAAAGTATTATGTAATCAAATTTTTTTTTTTTTTCCAGAAAATATTGAATTTTTTTTTCGTAAACTCAACGCAGATAGATATACAGGAAATCTAAAAAACAAACTCGTTATAGATTTTTTTCTAAAATATTTTTTTTTTTGCGTTTTTTTTTACTTTTTTAACTTTTTATAGTCATACTGTGCGAAGTTTATTTCCATTTAATACAGTTCACTTTCATGTGTAATACAAATGCACATTCCATCGCGATTTTCATATGCGCGTCTAAAAGTTATGAGAAATACTCTTTCGTCCATATGTATTTGCACTTGTATTTGTAGAACAAACTTTTGTGCTTTTGCTGCTGTGGCAAAAATATCACTCATACGTCATGTACGCACAGAATGGTGGAACATTTGCGGTGTCAGCGTATGCGGATGGCGAAATGGTAGGCAGCCATAACTGTGGCTTGTGGCTGTGGGGCGGAAATGCCAAGCAGGATGCATTTTTATATGGATGTACCACAGAGGCACACATAAAGATATGTGTGTATGTATGATTACATACCTATAAATGTGTTATATGCCAGACAGTGAAGCCGCTGACAGCCACATCTTCATACATATGCTGTTATATGTATGTGCGACACCCTTATATACATACAAATACTTCTACATGAATATATGTATATGTATATATTTCTTTCACTGTGTGTGTCTGTGACATGACGTTGTGTGGCAGGAAGTGAGATTGCTAGCTGCAGTTAAATATTTTTGCCACTGTTGTTATTAATAATACCATTGTCGTTGGCGGCGTTGTTGTTGTGGTTTTATTGTTGTTTTTATTTCGTACAACTCGCAACAGCATGCAATATCATTATTATTATTATTTTTACATATGCAGTCATTAAATTTCCCAAAAACAAAAAAAAAAAAAAAATCCCCAGCAGCAGCCATGCTATATGCTCATTGGGTCGGCTGCTGCGATTTAATTTTTTGTATGCTTCCTTGTTTTCGCTCTGCTTTATTGCGGTTGTTGCCAAAGCAAATTAACCCTGTCTGTTGCATCGTGATTGCGCACCTTTGCTCAGCAATTTACCAAGTCATTATTGAACTTTTTTTAATTGAGGGTTACAAGGATTGAGGGAGGAAAATTGAATTTGATATATGTGCTTTTGTTTATTTTCTTCGTTTTTTCAAGCAGTGTATGCAAGGGTTACAAGCAAAATTTAAAATCAGAACTAGTAGAAAAAAATAACATCAAATAGATAAAAAATTTTGATATAGGGCATTTTAATAGGCACAGATTTTCAAAAATTAAGTCTGCGGAAAGAAAAAAAAACAAACAGAAAGTAAATATTCACCAGTTTCATATTAAAAATTTTTTTTATTTTAATAAGTATGTTCTCACTTTCGTTAGTTAGGCAAAATAATAATTGTGACCACAGTCGAATAAACCTATTTTAATTTTAATTAAAATATATATWTTTTTTAATTTTAATTTAATTTTATTATGAATTATAATTTCAATTTYAATTTTAAATTAATTTTAACTTCATTTTGTTCTTAGTTTGAGTTTTGGTAATAGCTTTAGTTGCGATTTATTTTTTTATCTAATTTAAATTTGATTTTAATTTTAATTTTAGTTTCAGTTCTAATTTTAATTTTATTTAAATTGTGCTTATAGTTTTAATTTAAAATTTAATTTATTTTAACTCTAATAGTATATTTATTTTTATGTTTGAATAACATGTAATGAATGAGCTTAGCTTACCTTTCAGAATTTCGCAAATTTTTGTTTAAAGAAATGCTTAGCTTATCTAAAATTCCTTTCCAAAGTTCGCGGAAAATTATTGTTTTCTAAAGCTATATCTATTGCTTATTCGTCAAATATGAAACCCTGAGATTTCTTTTTAAGTGATTGAATAAAACCAAATAGAAGAATGCAGAGCATATGAAGAGGGCAATCAAATTTGAAGCGTAAGCTTCTTAACATTTCAATGCTCAGGCTTCAGCAGCCGGCTGTGCCCAGATCGATGTCATTTCCCATGAAAGTCGAGTCTACATAATCGCAACGAACCCAGATTTTTTATCCTACCAAGTACTGTCGATTCGACGCAGCTCTGCCGTTACAACACCAACAGCTTGCTTCATGGCTATCATTTTTCCAACCAAAAGTAAATTTAAAAAAAGTTTCTAACAGACTTAAGAATATCTCAAAATCGTTGCATGGGAACCCAATGACCCCTAATTGGTGACTAAAACAGGGCCATGTGCGAGCAAACATTATCTGCTAAAAATTTTTTATTTTTTAAATTTATACGACCGTAATATTTTTCAGTGCATCCCTACTTAAGCTTTAAGTTATACTTAAGCAACTTTCTGCTTTTTATTCAGAATGCGGCGATTTCTGAAAGTGAAAAAATCACACAGATTAGAAAAATGTTTACACTTCCATCACTTATTTACAACCCTCACCATAAATGCCTCTGAAAATATTTCAAATCACACAACCACTTCCCGCACCCGTTCTAATACATTAAAAGCCCTTTAGTGTCCAGTTATCGCCTCAGACAAAGAACTGTACGCTCGTTAGTGTCCACTAAAATTACGAGAAAATTAAACCAAAATAGCAGACGCAAATTGGCGACACTTTGACTCGACATATAAAGGCACACATTTTACGAGCCTACGCACACATCTCCATGGGGAATGTGAACAAACTTTTTTTCCAACAACAAACACATGCTCACACAGATATCCGTAAAAAAGCAAAAGTAAAAACCAAAAAATCCCAAATCTCTCAACACAACTTCCAGCGCAGACGCTTCACGTTAGCCCCAGCTTTGGAGCTTGAAATTAAGCGGCATTCCCCTGTCAACAGGCGCGTATTGGGTAGGAGACGCACACATGTACACCTACCTTTGTACTATATGTGTGCTTGTATGCTTGCGACATGTATATTTATTAGTGTAGTTTGTTCGCTTGGCAGGCTAACAAATGATGGAATAAGGGTTAAACACATTAGCAGCGTTAGGCGACCAACGTGGTAACACAACAAAATCAACAACAATAACAACAACCAGTCGAATTGGAAACGTACGTTAATAGTAAAATGAGATTTTCTTTTGAATGCGCATCATTTATCAAAAGATCCTTTTCACATACCTACAAAGGATAGCAAAAACACAAGAAAGAAAAAAGTATTTCGAAAATCAAAAGGTAGTAATAACAACAGCAAATAGCAAAGATAAGCTGGAAAGCAACGAAAATAGTGGGTCAAAGCCAGCAAATCTACATAGGGGCTTGAGGAAAAACAAAACACATTGGTCTTTCCATACTTGTATAGGCCGAAAGTGAGAAATGCCAAAATAACCAATTTCCATTTTGACCAGCATATTCGAGCACCTGTTGTCTGGCCAAACTTTACTAATATATTTTTTCACATTTTTATACTTTCCCCCACACACACACACATACACACCCGACATACCTGCCAAATATAACACAACAAACACAGGAATCCTTAATGGGCAATTCAATGCGTCCGATGCGCAGCTCGTCGCCAGGACCCAAGGGTCCACCAGGTGATAAAGGCGATGCCGGAGCGGCGGGCGAACGTGGTCAGCAGGGTCAGAAAGGTGAACGTGGTGATCCGGGAATGACTGGCGAGAAAGGTGATAGGGTAAGTATAATAATATATGCTCACATTCATCTCTACTTAACGTACATGTGCGCTTGTGAATGAGTGAGTGATAAAGTGAAGTAGACGTGTGTGAAGTATGTTTGAGTGAGCGTGTACGTGGATATTTCAATACTGATTGTTGAAACAATTAGCAATTCATTACACATATTTTAATACATTTTTTATATAAATATATGTAATATACTATTTTTTTTTTTATTGTCTGTATTATTATTTTTTTTTTACTGACGTTTTATGATTGTTATCTCATAAACGTTTTACTTGATTGAAAAAGAGCAGTGATATTCCTACAAAATCGAGAGGTAAAAATTTAGAATTATTGTTTTTTCATTAATCGGATGTCATGAGAATAACGTTCCCTTAATGTAATCAAACTTCAACCTTTAATACCTTTTAAAGAGCATTCATTTTCTACAAAATGTATGGAAGGAGATATTTTTTCGAGTATTTGGAAGCAAAAGATGGGTTTCCTGTCTAATAGTAATAAAAAATGTTAAACTGCAAGAATGAAGTCGTTCACTTTTATATATATATATTTTACAAGCTCATAGTGAAAGAGATGTTTTTTGAGTTATCTAAGAACCTATTTCTCTAAAGAAAAGAAGAAAAAAAATTGTTTGACCCATCCTAATATTTACAAATTTTTTAGATGTGTAGGAATCGATTTCTTAATTAATTATCTTCTGTAAGGATTTGCCAAAGCCAATTTCTGAAGAATGATCGATAAACAACTTTGAAATATTCCAAACATAAACATTATTCTTGCGGGTTATTAAATAGGATCTAAAATGTTTCAAATAACTTTAACTTTAGTGGTACTTTTACTTGGCAAAAGCTTTATTTGGTGGTGGGTATCTTAGATGAGCGCGGAACTGAAAATACGACTCGTATTTTCCTGTTATTTTTTCTGGATCACTTTTATTACTAAAAAGAACACATCTCTAAACACAGTCAATCAGGTTGCTTACCTCTTCGAGACACCAAAACTGTTCACGGTAATCTTCCATATAAATCTTTCCAATATATCTTCTGAATGAAAACTCGTTTACTTTCCAAAACCTTAAAATATCGAAGCTTGAAAATGCAGCGTTTGCTACATTTCAAATAAACTAGAATCGATCTTATACGAGTAGTCATCTATAAATTTGGAAATTATGCAATTGGTAAAACTATTAAAGGTATCGATAACTTTTATGTCGAGGTACCTTCCTTCCTTCGGCTTTAAAGCAACTAGATATGTGCTGGTGTTAACTAGGCTAAAAACGTAGACGATGTCTAGCCAGTAATGAAGAGCAGGAGGAAGATCTACTTCAAGTGTGAAAAGTCAACTAAAGAAGAACGACTGAGATAACTTGTGCGGTATTTGTCACCTTTTACATAAATTTATGTATATTTGCCTAAGAATATGATTAAAATATATATCTATGAGAGAGATCTATGATTAAAATCATATTTTCTGATATTACCGCTTTAGCATAGAAATAGTGAGAGTAAACCACCTTAACAGTTGTAGAGCTTTCTTAATGCGTAAATTTAGCGAAAATTTATCTATTTGCTTATAAATTGCAACAAAATCGCGAAAAAATCGAAAAATTCAACAAAATTTTTAATAAAACCGTTAAGTACATGGTGCAAGAAAGAGAGCAATGCATTACCTTAGCATTAAAGGGTTTCAGCTTAATAAATTTACCATAAATCAACACTTCCTGCAAAGCATATGTATATCTTCATCACGACATGCATTTCTAGGCGTTCTCTCACGGATATATTATATGTAAACACCAACAAATGTATGTATATGTTCCACATCCGCACCGTCGTCCGTTGGTGAGTAAGCTATTTCGCAGAGGTGAATCCTTCAACTTGCCATCGCAAAAGTAAGCGTTATTTCTCAGTTTCTCGGCAGCTGGAAGATAAAAATGTTATCACATCAATAGCTGACTAGGAATAGTAAAACAGCTAACGCAACGAAATCGAGCTGAACATCTGCTGCATCAGCTGCTTTTATTGTTGCTGCTTTCATGCTTCCTTCACAGCGCGTACGGGCTTCTATTCAATTTCACACTTAATTTGATAAGCGTTATATACGTGTGTTACGCTCCACTAGCACTAGCAAGCAGTTTCCGCAGAAACACACACCGCGCCCTAGTTTTCAATCTATGTACTTGCTCTTCACATACACGCATCTATGTGTATGTGCGGTGTTGTTGCTATGCGTAGATAGCAGTTCTGCCTTGAATGACGATTCGTTCTGCTACACTGCGCACCGGACACTTTAGTGATTTTTTCTGCCATCTCATGGCTGCGTAAGCGTTATCTCTGTGCTTGTGTGCAGGCATTTCAGGCTTCGCTGTTTGTCTGATTGCTGCTTTCCTCTTCATTACCTGCTAATATTTTCTCTCCTGTTTGTTTTTTTCTTCTACGGTTTGAGTGTTTGTTGTTGCATATTTTCACATTTTCCGCAGTGTGGCCTTGTGGGTGTGAACTGTTCTCCGTCCTGCATGCATAATCACCCAATAAGCGTGTAAAAAGTTACTTTTCCGCCTGTCTTAGCTTGGCCGTGGCGGCGGCATAAAACCGTGTTGCCGGCAGAAAAAAACTGTACATGTAACTTTACGCATTCACTAAGTGGACTTATCACTTTTATTTGCTTTCCCTGACTTTCATTTTCATTTTGTGTATTTTCCATTTACTTTTCCTTTTATTTTCACTTGCTTGGTCTCTCAAGCGCTCTAATAATTCCAAATAATATTTTTATGTCAAATAAAGGCATCGCCAGCATTTTTGGCATATAATATACTGTGTGAGCATGCAAATAAAAACAGGGTGTCACGAAAAAAGGAAATTTTATCTCTTTTGAAGAGTTTTTTATTTCTCCTTTGTTATCGAATTTGTGTGTGATTTTAGCAAACAATTTACTCAAGAAAAATCATTTTATAAATTCATTTCGATACATGTCTTAACATACCAAAACTTAATGATACTTCAAGTTTATTTATCCTCTCTCAGTATTTAGTGCGTTTGTTAGTTTCATGAAATACACTATTAATATTCCTATAATACTTCTTTGATATATAATTGATGAATATTTGATAGTAATGTCATAATATCGGTCAAAGGTAATACCTACGTAAAACCACGTAACTTAACGGGAAACAAAACACAACAGAACATATCTAACATAAGATAGCATGACTAAATTTGAAATAACATAACATAAGTTTACTTCACTCAACTTAACTAAACTTAACTTAACTTAACTTAACATAAAGTATATATATAAATGATCAGTATGTTGAGCTGAGTCGATTTAGACATGTCCGTCTGTCTGTCTGTATATATACGAACTAGTCCTTCAGTTTTTAAGATATCATTTTGGAATTTTGCAATCGTCATTTGCTCTTCAAGACGCTGCTCATTTGTCGGAACTGCCGATATTGAAACACTATAACATATGGCTGCCATACAAACTGAATGATAGGAAAAAAGTTCTTGTATGGAAAACTTTTGCATTTGTTCAGACCTACTCACTATAGCATACAGCTGTCATACAAGCCAAACAATCGGAATCAAGCTGGTATCTTCACGAAATTTGACATGAATTACTCCGAAAAAAAAATTTCAGATCAGATTACTATAGCATAAAGTTTCCATATGAACTTAATTCATAGTTAATAAAAGAAATGCACCTGCGAAGGGTATATTAGCTTCGGTGCAGCGGAAGTTAGCGTTTTTTCTTATTTTAACTTAACTCAACATCTAACACTACTTAAGTAAATTTTAACATAACTAACCTTAACCTGAAATAACAGGGCATAACTCAAGTTAACATAACATAAGGTAACATATCAAAACTTAACATTTTATTACCCAACACCCTGTCCCTTTGCAAAAAAGTAAATCCATCTGCTCTTTACGTGTCAATGCGTCGTTTGTCTATGCCGTGGTACAAGAATATGTTTGTGCATATAAGTGTTCTCCCACGTATTACTTCAATTATGTAGAGTGCGTGTGCTATTATCACAATGCGCTTTTCATTTTAACTTTTACTGCCTTTTAACGTTTCGTTTACTTTGCTATTTTTGTATTATCTTGTTTTGCTTCTATTTTAGCAGCAGCTATATTTGTGGTTTAACTCGCCCTTCTGCGCCATATAACTGTCATTTTGTGGCCTAGTATTGTCTCACAACTGGCGCTGATTGCGGGCAGGTGTGTAGGCTTTTCACACGTTTTCTTCAAGGACACACGCAGCACTCTCTTGTGTTTGCTCTTGTCGCCAGTTTCTTTTTGTTGTGACCCTGGCTTTGTGGCCTTATCCTGCAGATGTTTCAGCGTGACATATTTCTGCAACTTTTTATTTGCGAAATACTTCCCTAGAAAGCAGAAATCGCTTTGCGCCAGCTTTGGCTTTGGCTGTCTGCTATTGCCGCTGCTATTATCGCCTCTCTTGTGGTTAGCGCCAGTCATTGTGGCTCAAGCGAGGCGATGATAATCATTGCTGTTCTGCTCGCAACTGCCGCTAAATGGGCGTGTCTGTGTTTGTGTGGGTGTATCCGCTAGCTCCTCCGTTGTTTCTCCTCTACTTTGAGAAGTGTGTGCATAATATTTTTAATGTATTTTCACGCCTTCGTTCCATGTGCGGTTTTCGTTCGTCTCTTTTTTGGTTTTTTGAACTTCTGTGTGCTCTAGGCTAAATATATGTTTGGTAGTCACAATTACAGGCAAGTGCTGTTTTCCATTTTTTCCTGCCCACAGCTTGTGACTGCTGTTGTGTTGATAAAAATGGTTGCTCTCTTTGCGGTGTTCATAACTTTTTCTCCAGCTGCTGTCCTCCCACTAGTTATAACGGCCGGTTATGGTTATTTATGTTTGTTGCGTTCTAAATATTCCAGCCCCTGACAACTCCACTTCACTGTGCGTTACAGACTAAGATTTATTTGACCTTTGTCACATTATTTATTTCAATTTTTTGCGAAAGT